TTTCATTGTTTTTCTGTAGTTTGAACATGATATGGTTAGGTATAGTTTTTGGTATTTATTATGCTTGGTGTTTTCTCAGCTTCCTGGATCTGTGGCTTGTTGTCTGTCATTAATTTTAGAATATTCTCAGCCATTATTACTTCAAATATTCCCTCCTTTTTCTCGTCCTCTTTTGGTATTTCAGTAAGGTATATGTTACACCCTTTGAAATCATCTCCTATTTCTTAGTCTCTTCAATTTTTTTTTTTTTTTTTTTTTAGACAGAGTCTCACTCTGTTGCCTGGGCTAGAGTGCCGTGGCATCAGCCTAGCTCACAGCAACCTCAAACTCCTGGGCTCAAGCAATACTCTTGCCTCAGTCTCCCGAGTAGCTGGGACTACAGGCATGTGCCACCATGCCTGGCTAATTTTTTTTTATATATATATTTTTAGTTGTCCAGCTAATTTCTATTTTCTTTAGTAGAGACGAGGTCTCGGTCTCTTCAATTTTTTGCTGTCTTTTTTCTCTTTGTATTTCAGCTTGGGAAGTTTCTATCACCATGTCTTGAAGTTTACTGATTCCTTCCTTGGCTGTTTCCAACCTACTGATGAGCCTATCAAAGGCATTCTTCATTTGTTACAGTTGTTTTTTTTTTTTTTTTTTCCCCTAGCATCTCCTTTTGATTTTTTCTTAGAGTTTCTATCTCTCTGTTTACATTAGCCATCTGGACTTTCATGTTATCTACTTTTACTAGTAGACTCCTTAGTATATTAATCATGGTTATTTTAAATTCCCTATCTGATAATTCCAAAACCTGTGTCATATCTGAGTTTGGCTGTCATGCTTGTTTTATCTCTTCAGACTGTGGTTTTTCTTTTAGCATGCCTTGTAATTTTTTTGTTGAAAGCTGGACATGATCTATCAAGTAATAGGAATTGAGCCAAAAAGGCCATTAGTGTGAGGTTTTATGTTAATCTGGCCAGGAGTTGGGCTGTGCTTAATGTTTGTTCTAGTTGTAAGTGTCAGAGGTTTCAATTTCCTGTAGTGTCTTTTTGTCTCCCTTGTTTCCTTTGGGTTTCCTTAAAAACTGTATAAATAGTCTGAACCTTGCAGGTCTTTCAGCTGTAATCCAGTTATAATAATGAAGCCCTATTGATGTGGTAGCTAGGTGTGGGAGAAGGGGAGGCATTCTGTAATACTATGACTAAATCTCAACCTGTAACCTTCACAAATGTTTCACAGCTTTTCTCTCTCTCGCTGTCTCTCTTTCTCAATAGGAAGGCTAGAACAGTCTGGAGTTGGATATGGCTTTGGTAAAGTTGTTTTCCTTGCTGGGTAGCCCTTTGCTATGTAGAAAGTTCTGAATATACTTCAAAATGATTACTTTTTCTCTCCCCATGCCAGAAACAAGAGATTTTTTTTTTTCTTAGCTCTTTAGCTTGAGAACCTGCTGGGGTTCTTAGAAGTAAAAGTCCTTCAAGACTGCAGCCCCCAGGAGTTTTGTCACTTCCACACTAGTCTATACTCTGCCTCCAGCAATTTGTCAAAGCTACTGCATAAGTGTTCCTACCAGTTTATAGCTCCAGTGCCTTCTCCTCCCGATAAGCAGATCTGGGATGCGATTTTCTCTAATTGCCTGTCTCTCCAGATTTTGGTATTGCACTTGTTCCTGTGACTTCAATTTTCTGATGGGTCCAAGTAAAGTCACTGAGTTTTAGTTCGTTTAGCTGTTTTTCTTATTGTACGATAGAGTGATGAGTTCCAAGCACTTTACATATTGAAGCTGAAAAGAGAAGTCTGCAACTGCATTTTTATTCAAAATTATGTTTGTGAATTTCATCCACACTGATACCTATAATTCTATTTTATCCATTTTCTCTGTGTAGTATTCTATTTTATGAACATACCATGCTTTATCTGCTCTCCTGCTAATGAACATGTATGTTGTTTAAAAAAAATGCTACAACAAGCATCATTATAACATCCCTTAATGTGCATGCGTAAGAGTTTCTCTAGGATAGACACCAAGGAGTGAGACTGCTGACTTACAGTATACAAACATGTTCAATTTTACTATCTATTGCCACAATATTCTTTTTGTTTTTTTGTTTTTAGAGACGGAGTCTCACTCTGTCGCCCAGGTTGGGGTGCATTGGGACAGTCATAACTCACTGTAGCCTCACACTCCTGTGCTCAAGAGGTCCTTCTGCTTCAGCCTTCTGAGTAGTCAGGACTATAGGCAAGTGCCACCATGCCTGGTTAATTTTTAAATTTTTTTTGGTAGAGATGGGGGTCTCACTATGTTGCCCAGGCTGGTCTCGAACTCCTGGCCTCAAGCAACCTCCTGCCTCAGCCTCTGAAGGTGCTGGGATTACATGTGTGAGCCACCATGCCCGCCCTGCCACAATATTCTTGAAAGTGGTTGTACTCATTTACATTCCCCCTGGCAGTTTATTAGTGTTCTATTGTTCCATATGTTTACCAATACTTGGCATTGTTAGGGCTTTAAATACACACCAACATCCTGAATGTTAAATGGTATACATTATTGTGGTTTTATTTTGCATTTCCCTGATTACTAATGACATTTCTTAAATTTATTAGTCATTTATGTTTTTGCCTCTGTAAATTGCCTGTTTGTACCTTCTGCCCATTTTTATTGGGTTGTTTGTGTTTTTCTTATTGATTTGTAGGGAAATATTTCCTTAAAATGACTCAAAAAGCACAAACTATTGAATGAAATAATGATAATTTGATAACTTTAAAATGAAAGACTTCTACTCAACAAAAGACATCAGAAACTATATTAAAAGGTAAACTACCCACCCACTGGGAGAAGATATTTGCTAAATAAATAGCAAGGATTTATACCCAGAATTTTAAAATAATCTCTATAAATAAATATGAAAAAACAAATATGATCAAATAATGGGCAAAGGAATGGAACAGGTAACTCACAGAGTGTTGCTGAATGGCTAACAAATGCATGAATACATGCATAAACTCACTGGAAATCAAGAACATGCAAATTAAAACAATGACATACGTTTTCAAACATATTCATCTGGCAAAATAAAGAGTTTAATATTCCCAAGTTTTGGCAAGAATGTGAAAGGAATCTCTAAACCCTGCTCACTGGAAGTTGAAGATATACATACCCTATACACAGTGATTTCACTTTGAGGTATACAACCCAGAACAGTAATTTTTAAAATGTTACTCTCAGACCACCAGCATCAGCATCTCTTGGGAACTTGCTGGAAATGCAAATTCTCAGGCCCCAATCCAGGTCTATTGAGTCAAAAATTCTAGGAGTAGAGCCCAGCGTGTTTCAGCAAGTCCTCTAGGTGACTCTGATGCACACTAATATTTGAGAACCACTGCAACAGAGTGACACTTTCCCAACTTTTTTTTACTAAGATCTACAGGAAGAATAAAAACCTACATTGTGGCCCATACACATCTCTCTCACACATACAGACACACATAAAATAAAAGATTTAAGAAACAGTAATTACCCTAACTGTATGGAATGCATTTTGATATTTCTATTCTATTCTAATTCGTTTCATCAAAAAAAAAAAATCTGCTGGTTTTAAACTTCTGACTGCAACCTAAGTTTGAAAAACACTGTCCTAGATAAACTCTTGTATATGTGCAACAAGACATATGTACAATAATATTTGTTGCAGAATTGTCTGTAATAGCAAAATAATGTAAAGGACAATCTTCAGGAAAATGGATAAATAAATATTGGTTTATTCCTACAATGGAATACTATATAGCTCCTTATATCATTTGAAACAAATTTCAAAAATTTTATGTATATTGAGTTAAAAAATAAGTTATAGAAAGATACGTAGAGTATATGATCTATATAGTTTTAAAATGTATAAAACTATCTTTTAAAAATGTACAGTTATATAGTAAAAAATATAAAAATGTGTATGGGAATGGTAAATAGTGAATTCAGGATAGTGGTTACATCTGGAAAGGAGAAAGGGATTGGTGAGGGATACATGTAAGTCTTCAGGTATATTTATAATGCTTTATTTTTTTAACTAAAACATGGAAACTATTGGGAATTGATAAAGATTGGTAAAGATTAGCTGAGTATACAGGTGTTTGCTATATTATTTTATATAACTTTTGGTATATTAGTAACATTTCATAATAAAAAGTAAATAAAAATGAAGCTACCCTTGAACTAACAGCAAGAATATATTAGAAATTCAATCATTCAAAGGAAACTATTTTAATATCCTTCTTCTACAATGGTTTTTTAAAAAAAATTCAGGGACAGTTAGAAACTATTTAAATTAGATACAACAAAGTATATGCTCCAGGGGCTTGTGTTGCCTCTTTGGGTAACACGGTAATGAAGAATTTTCCATTCCAGATGTAACATATAGCATGAATGTGAAATAATGATTTGATCAATAAAACAAGGACTACTTACAATATTACTTGGTTATATGTCTTCCAATTTCTCAAAGCTTAGAGGACCTGCGCTTTTACGTTGCTGCTTTGCTAATAGTAACTTAAGTCATATGTCATATGAAAGCCAGGTGGAGCATTCTGAAGAGAAAGCTCATGTGGTAATAGTAAACCCTACTCACAATCAGGCAGTCAATTTATTTATTGACTAATTCCAAAGGCACCATGGCTACCAGCTATGATAGTCCTATGAATACTACTTGATTATTACTAGCCTAGGAAATTGGAGGTTACTTTTCCTTCAATTCAGGGCTTCTAAGTAGGTAATAGACTAGAGTCCCATCAAGACTTCTTTAAAATTCTAAGTGTAGTTTAGGATCTTAGAAAGCACAAAGAACATTATAGGAAATATGCTACTTATATAGTATACAGAGAAGGAATAATCAAGGTCAAGGATAAACACAATCACTGTGCTTATGTTACGATTCTTTGGTATAATCAAAGCTAATTTAAAAGTATTAATTTAGGTAGAGATAAATAAAAGTGAAAACAACCCATGTTGTTTTTCTTGGTTTGGCCTATACCTTGTTTGGCTCCCCTGGATTATATGAAGAAAACATAGGCATTTTTCGGATCTCTTCCTCTGACAAACGATTTCTCTGGATCTCATCTTCTGGGACAAATTCTATTGGCTGCGTCAGCTTCTTAGGCCCAGTCCAACACTGCTCAGGTGAATAATCAATAACTTTTGCCACATGGAGACTAGGACCTTTACCCTGTGCTGCCTGTTTTCCCTCGTCCTGGAGTAATGACGGGATCTCAGCTGTGCCACTATCACCCACTGATGTAGCTGAGACCAGTGAGTGGGAAGCAAAGGGTTCACCTCTCATAAGTTGGAACTCTTCAAGACGTTTTTTCATTATCATCTCTTGGTAAAAACTTTCCAGGTTGTTCATGGGATCACCTTTGTTCTTCTTTTGGGGTTCATCTGGATCAAGACAAAGAGACAGGGAAGTTCTACAACGCCTACCAATACAACCTTTGACAAATTAATAAAAATTAAATCCTAGATCTCAGATATAGAAACTCTGCTGGGGCAGATCTTTACAACCTGTGACACATGACAATAGTATATAGCTATCTTATTACATTGCATCTCAAGCAAGGCCAGAACTATGGTGAGGCAAGTGAGGCACCTAAGACTCAGGGTCATGCAAGTATGTGCACCTCTAACTGATAAGGATGTTTCAAAAATATAATCAGTGTGGCATTATATGTTTCACAAAATTAATAATTCCTTATCATTATCTAACACCAAGTTCATATTCAAATTGCCCTGATTATCTCAAAGATATTGTTTTACATTTGGTTATATTTGATTTAGGATCTAAACCAGCCTTTGGCTAATATATTTCTTAAGTCTTTTTTATTTTAAAACAGTACCTCTTCCCTCCCACCCCTCTAGCTCATTTCCCTCCCATCCACTGATTTGTTAGAGAAGCCACATTTATTCTATGAACACGTGGATTTGATGAATTATTTCTCGATGAGTGTTGTTTAACTCGTTCCTTTAATCCCCTCTATTTCTTGGCAGTTAAATCTAGAACTATGCTATCTAATACAGCAGCCACTGGTCACATGTGTCCATTTAAATTAATTTTAAAGTATCAGTTCCTCAGCCAAACTTATCACATTTCAAGTACTCAACAGCCATATGTGGCTAGTGGATACCATATTGGACAGATAGAAAAAAACTATTAACATCATGGCAGAAAGTGGTATTGGACAGTGCTGATCTAGAGGTTTGATTAGATGTAAGTTCAATATTTTTAGGCAAGAATCCTTCATAGATGTGTATTTCCTATTGCATCATGTCATAAGACACATAAATATTTGGTGGTCCCATTTTTAGTGACACTGAAATTGATCAGTGGAGTGAGGTGGTGTTACTTTCATCTATCCATTAAGTTCTACCATTTACCTTTCACCGAATGAGTTTTATATCCATTGATGACCATTGCCTAGATCTATTAATTTATTAAGAGTTATAAAATGAATGGGTTTTCCTAATTTTATTATTTCTTTTTTATTTATTATCTGAAATTCTATAATGAACTTACCATCATCAACTATTTGGTTTCCTAAAATGCAGTTCATATAGGAAAGGCAGGATAAATGCTTGATTCTTTCCATTATTTACCAATTATGAGAGTAATAAGTTGGTACCTTAGAAATCTCCAATGGTGACCAAATATTTTCATATATTTCATGTGTGTCAATTAAATGTAGTCAATATTCTTTTTAGTGGCTCAATTATCCTACTTAGGACCTTCAAATAGGCTTCTGTATTGCTTCCTGGTCTTCTGGCACAGCAAGATATCCCAAGCTCATCTTGCATACTTCCTAACCCAAACCTGGAATATTTCTCCAAGGACCCCTGATTCCTTTCAGTGGGAAGTGGTATTTAGAAATTACAGTGTGTTGCTAGGTGTGCTCGCTGCTGTTGAGTTGTTGCTTCTAGGCATTTTCAGTGTATAAAGTTAGGACATTTTTTAAGAGAAAAATAAATAATGAGTTCATATTGATATTTCCAATTCAAATTTAAGATCATAAGGTTTTTACTTAAATTCCTTGATTTTGGACTTCTATCTCTTTCTCTTCTTTGTATGCTTAAAATAACATTAGCAAAATTATTTATTAGCTTCTTCCTAGAATATACTTATAGAATTTTAAAATGTCAACAATACTAATATGACCATCAACAATAAAACTACTAAATACAGTTTTATATTTCCTTGCAGTTGTCCTTAGATAATATTTCATTAGAAATATACAAATGTTGTTTTAAATTCACTTTAAGTAATTGTTTTCTCTGTGTGATTATGCTACCAACTTTATATATCATTAGGTTCATTTACTTTAGGTAGTTTTTGAATTTTAGGGATTATTTTACTTTTGATTAAATTTTTTAATTTTGCAAAACATTTACATGGATCTAAGGTGAAAATTGCTATACAGTACCTTCACAGACGTCTCACTTCCACCTCTGTCCCCTTTATCCCCTTCCCTTCTTTCCCCATAAATAATATTTTCATTATGTTTTAGCTTATGGTTTTATTGTTTCTTTTTTGAAAATATAAGCAAACAGGCACACACACACACACACACAAAATTCATTAGTTATACGCCTCTCCTACATAAAGTAACTTACTATAAACACTATTCTACAACTTACTTTTTTGTACTGAACAATATATTCTGGAGATAATTCCATATTAATGTGTAGAGCTCTTCTTCTTTTTGTGTCTGCGAAGTACTCCATTGTGTGGATGTACCATAGTTTTATTCCACTATTCCCCTACTGATACACATTGGTCTTGTATCCAATCTTATGTTGTTATGAATAATACCCTGACAGACAGCCTTCTGCACACAGAATTTGGTATTTTTCCAGTATATTTTTGAAACAGATTTTAAGAAGTGGAATTGCTGATACAAAAAGTAAATGTATATATAATTTTTCTATATATTGTTAAATTTCACTCTGTAGGAGTTATACTATTCTGTATTTCCACCAGCAAGGCACAGGAGTAGTGATGGAAGTATTTCTTAAGCCACAAAAAGAGGCCGAGTGTGGTGGCTCACACCTGTTATCCTATCACTCTAGGAGGCTGAGGTGGGAGGATTGCTTGAGCTCAGGAGTTCAAGACCAGCCTGAGCCAAGAGTGAGATCCTGTCTCTACTAAAAATAGAAAAAATTAGCCAGGCGTGGTGGTGTGTGCCTGTAGTCTCAGCTACTTGGGAGGCTGAGGCAGGAGGATCGCTTGAGCCTAGGAGTTTGAGGTTGCTGTGAGCTAGGCTGACCCCATGGCACTCTAGCCTGGGCAACAGAGCGGGACTCTGTCTCAAAAAAGAAAAGACACAAAAAGCGCTAATCTTTAAGGAAAACATTGATAAATTCAACTATATTAAAATTAAGAACTTCTGTTCAGTAAAATGTCATAAAGAGATGGAAAAGAAAAGCCAAAGAATAGAAAATGTTATTTGCTACACAAAAAACTATTACAGAACTTCAATCTAGAATATATAAATAACTCCTACAAATTAATAAGAAAAAGATAGATGACCATTAGGAAAATTGGCAAAATATTGAAGAGATGTCTCACAAAAGAAGAAATACACATAGCTAATAAATATATGCAAAAGTGCTCAACCACATTAGAATTCAGGGAAATGCAATTTAGGAAGGGGATGAGATACTGATAGAAAACTGACATATTGGCAAAAATTAAAAAGAATGCTAATATCACATGTCAGTGAGACTGAAGAGCAACTAGTACCCTCATATATTGCTGGTAGGAATGTGCAGCCACAGTGCTAATCAGTATGACATTATCTACTAATGGTGAATATATGTTCGATATATAGCCCATCGATTCTACTCCCACATATATACCTTAGAAAAATGTGGGCATATATGTATGAGGACATGATAAGAAGAATTTTCAGATCAGTGCTATTTATAATTGCCTAGAACTAGCAAAAATACAAATGTCTAAGAAGAAGTATAAAATTCTGGTAAATTTCTATAATGAAATACTATAACCCATAAGTAGCAAATTTTAGCTACATATGTCCAAGTAAATGAAAATACTAATGTATATACTCAAAAATACTTATTCAGTGACTATTTTGAGCCAGGCATTATTATGGGTTCTTGGAGTACATCAATAAATAAAGAGCCATACTTTCACAGAACTAAGTAAATTATATAGTATGTTAGAAGGTTATGAATGCTATGAAAAAGAAAAAAATACAGTAGGGTAAGATTGAAAGAACTATGGGGTAGTAGTAATGATGGTTACAATTTTAATGTTGATCTGGATAGGTCTCATTGAGAAGGTTACATTTGAGTGAAGACCTGAAGAAAGTAAGAGCATATATCATGCTGATACTAGAGCAAGGGCCCGAGGTAGGAGTGTTTCAAAAAATTTAATAAGACTGAAATCATACAAAGTATGTTCTCTAACTACAATGAACTTACATTAGGGATCCACTATTGTAAGAAATATGGAAAAACACAAATATTTGGAAATTAAACATCACATTTCTACATAACTCATGGGTCAAATAACTCACAAAGGAAAATCTAAAAATATTTTGACCTGGATGAAAATGAAAACACAACATATCAAAATGTATGGATGCAGCTAAAACATTGCTGTATCCATGTGAGAGAAATCTATAGCTTTAAATGCCTGTTTCAGAAAAGAAGAATGGTTTCAAATTTGTAACCTGAGCTTCCAAGTTAGGAAACTATAAAAAGAGTAAACTAAACACAAAGCAAGCAGACAAAAGAAACTAATAAATATTAAGGAATAATCTTTTCTTGTAATAGAAAACAGAAAAATAGAGAAAATCAATTAAACTAAAAGCTGGTTCTTTGAAAAGTTTAACCGAATGATAAACCCCTAGCTAGAATGACCAAGAAAATAACAGAGAAGACAAAAATGACTAAAATTAAGAATTAAAGAAGAAACATCACTACTGACCCTACAGAAGTGAAAAACAATTATGCAGGAATATTAAGACTAACTTTAGGCCAGCAAATTAGAAAATTTATTTGAATGGACAAATTCATAGAAAGCTACAAATTACCAAAGCAGACTCAAGAAAGAGAACAGCTGAATAAACCTATAACAAGGAACAAAAAACAAGTAAAGAGGTTGAATCAGTAATCAAAAAACTACCCACAAAGAAAAACCCAGGTCCAGATGGCTTCATTGGAGAATTTTATTAAACACTTAAAGAAATAATACCAGTCTTGCACACTTTCAGAAAATAGAGGAAGAGGGAATACTTTACTATTCATTCTGTGATGTCAGTATAACACTGATACCAAGGCTAAACAAAGATATCACAAGAAAACCATAGACCAATATCCTTCATGAACATAGATGCAAAAATACTTAATAAAATATTAGCAAG